GGGGGGGGGGGGGGGGGGGGGCTTTCATCATCTCGAATACACGCTGACAGTTCACAGAAGACTAGATCTCCTACCCAGAGCGTCGAGGTGGTCCGTCGACAGACCGCAGGCCTGCAGTCGAAGCGTGGTGAGGGAGGTGGCGTGAGAGAGGGAGGCGGCCAGGTCACTGAAGCCGCCGCCACCGACGACTTCCTGCGAGAGCTGAGGGTTACAGGAGACGTCCAGCACCGAGAGTCTGGGGAGAGCAGACAAAACTCCCCCTGAGGACAAACAACCACATCACACAGAGAGTGTCAACGCTGTGCCTCTGTGGCATTGTGGGAAATATTTGAAACATCGGTCAGCCTCTTATCTGCTTATCTTTCCTCTCTTATCAATGTGTTGATGGACGTTGATTGTATTACCCAGCGCAGTAGCATCAGCTGCAGAGAGCTGACAGGAAACCAGGTGAATCTCCCTCAGTGGTGGGTGCATTTTACCCAGGAGGCCTTGCAGCCCTCCGCCTCCAACACCGCCGTTCCAGGACATATCGAGGATCTCCAAATGTGGGACGCAGCAGAGAGCCTCCCCTGTAAAAGCACAGCGTCGTGTTCACCCTGTGTTAAAGCTGCACCGGCTGTTTCACATGAGACGTAAAGAACCTGAGAGAAAACTCGAAACACGTCGAAAATGAAAAATGTCCGAAGCTTTCATGAATCTTGGTCGTGCATCTTTTTAAATGTAGTAAATTATAATCCTGGAGGTTCCCACCCAGTGCAGTGACATCACCAGCGTTCAGCCTGCAGCTGCGGAGCCTCAGCGTCCTGATCCCGCCCACATGATGGAGGTGAGAGGTCAACGCGCTCAGACATCCACCAATCAGCTCGTTCCAGGAAACGTCCATCTCCTCCAGCTGAGGCAGGAAGTGGAGCAACGTGGCTGAGGACGACGTTAAAAAAACCATCACGGCCATGACAGTGGAGCAGCACAATTTATTTGTGTGTGTGTGTGTGTGTGTGTGTG